TGTTTTCTATGAAAATATTGTATTAAATTTAAGGATGGATTACTGCAAAAACATCAGTACTGGCCTTGAAAGACCCCTATCAGTAGCATCTGACTGGTAAGTATAGACTTTCTCTTTACATTTGTGGCCTTCCCGTCTGTAGCTCCAGTCACTGGTGGACTGGAACAGTGACCACAGCTCCATTGTACAGCAAGAACACAACAACAGTGGGCAGGCTGATAAGGGACTTGGTTGAAGCTTGGAGACACACACACACACACTGTAGGCCAACAAATGGGCCAACCTGAACAAAGCTGTTGTGACATTAAGAGGAAGCCTCTGGACTACTAGGCTAATTAGCTACAACAAACTTCCACAAGTTGAAATGAGAGCTGGAAGCTTATCTGATCAATCTAATGAACAAAGACAAAGGGAGACCAAAGTGAGGGGGAGACTGCTATTCTTTGGGGAATGGATGATATGGGATGCCAAGAACTGATTAGACATCCTATTTCAGGCCAACAAAGATTTTAAGATGCAGATTAATAAATAGCGTTAGAAAAAAAAATTCTAACATGGGTGTATAAGAACACATGTCAAGGGAATGGGAAAATGTCATGAAACTCATGCAGAGCACAATGGTGACAATCAGTAAGTCTGCTAAACTCTGAACTTCTAAGTGTGACAGACACACTCAGACAGTGAGTGTTTAGCTGCACACAGATGTACAGTTTCTGTTTGGTTTTTTATTTGGTTTTCAAAGCAGATACAGCTACAGTATTCTGGAGCTGATATTCAGGGCCTTGCAGTAGTCATGCTCTTGCCCAGAAACATCTGTATAAAAAAAATAATAATAATAAAAAAACTAGGAAACATTTTTAAATATGTTTGAGTACTGTAGCGGACAGTGAGGAGGAAGCCTGATGTTCCCACTGTCTACATGTAGACAGGAAATGTGGAAATGCTCTGTTTCCTGGTGCGTCTCTGTAGACACACCTGGACAGGGAGCGGCTATGAGGCCAGGAAGGAGCAGGGGAAAGGTGAAGGGAGGCAGGGCCGGGGAGAAGGATGTGGCAGACAGTGGTGATACTGTCCCCCAGTCCCCTCTGGCCTTTAATAACTCCACAGAGGCCTGGGACCCTGTCTGGCTCCTAGTATAAGGTCACAGAAAAGGGAAGTGGCCTTGCACTCATAACACCTGCATGCACACATCAAAGAGCAGAGGCCATGCTGTTACTGGTTCTCACTAAAGTGTACAGGAACAAAAGCTGGCATGGATATTGGTGGGTCCTCGCTTGGTGTCATGTCAATTTTGGGAAACCCTTTTAATTTGGAACTCTGTATTGATACAAGCTGTAATGACTAGGCTGATGATGTCGTTGGACAATCCAATAACAAAAACTAAATAAAATAATTTGCTAAAATTTTACGTAAACTGCTTTTAGTTTGTTTTACATTAAAGAATAATTTACCTAATAGTTTGGTATCAAAACGTCAAGGTCCCAAAATGTCAAGAGCTCGGCTGAGTTTGGGTGAGATCATTCTTTTTAAACATAAGGGCTGGTGCATCTCACGCACGTGAGAAAAACCAGTGATACATGCACTCTTTGCCAATATCCCTCTCACCACCACTGAGATGATGTGGGAATTCAACCATGGGTGGGAAGCATGAACGTCATGTCAGCTGCAAGGTCACAGACATCCTTGACGCTGTCACACGCATAGCCCTCTCATACACACACACTTTCAAATAAAGCAAAAACTGGCAGTCAGATTTTTGGAAGCACAGCATTGTCTCTCAAAGTGCTCAACACAAATAAACTGACAGCTGTGGCCCTGGCAGATGTTCCCTCCATTGTTATTCCTACTGCTAGTGGAACAGGAGAAGTGAAATGACTATATAGAGAATAGATAGAGAGAAAGAGGAGGAGGAGGCTGGCAATGGCAGGCAGAGGGCTACAGACAGAGATGGCAGTGACAGACACGGGGCTGGCTTCCGCAGGGCTGGCATGAGCAGGAAGGCCCAGAGGGAGAGAACAAAGAGGGGAATGCAGTGACCCTGTGTCTGGGTGCATCCTGTCCCTCTCCAGCCCAAAAGCCACCGATCCAGAGGTGGGTGATTAACATTTTCCTGGGACATTCCCCTCACCCAGGCTTTATTACTCTGTTTTCAGCCTTGACTTCTGTTACCCGCTGACACTGCACTCTGTGATGACAATGAAACTGATGGTGGCGGGGGGGGGAATACACTCATACCAGTGTTTTATTACAGGGATATATTGTTACATCAGAGGGAAACAATATGGGTTACAGGTAATCCCTAGAAAATGTTTAAGAAATAGAGGATAATGAGTTCATTACTGTACTGTGAAATGCACTTATATACTTCCAACTCACAAAGTTTCCTAAGCTGTTTTTGCCATGATTTAGACATTTTAATATCTTGGTTGTAAAAAAAAAAAGACCATTGTTGTTGGGGCAAGGTGGCTTCATAATTAAAAGGGACTGACCAAAATAATTAATTCAAGCTCAAGTCAAATCTAAAGTCAGTCAAGACAAGTCTTAGTCAAATCTCAAGTCAGCAGAAATAAGTTCAGGTCAAGTCTTCAGACAGCAACAAGGAAAATTCTGAATCAAATGAGCCCAAGTCAAGTCTCAAAATCAAGTCAAGCCTTGAGTCAATTTAGAGAGGTCCATGCTAATAAAGTCAGTTGAAGCAGGTCTTAGCCAAGTCTGGACCAGCAGAGACAAGTCAGAAACAAGCCTTGAGACAACTCTGAGGAATGTTTTGAGTCATTTGAGACAAGTCTAAGTCTCTATTCAATTGAGACAAGTTTCAAGTCAAGTAAAGCCCTTAAACATATCCAGACAGCTGCAAGTGTTATTACAATAACACAATTCAAACACTTTGCTTTAAATCTTGTTTTATTGTATTATATTCAAGGTGTGAGTCTTTGCAAAAATTGGTCTATAATTTTATCAAGCCAAATCTTAATATTTATATCCATGTTTTTGCTTTTAAATCTTAAAACAAGGTGACCCAGAGAAGCCTAGCACAAGTCAAGTCATAAGCTCTCATTTTTGTCACTTAAATCTTTTTCCCAAGTCTCAGCCAAGGCATCTCCTCTACTCAGGTGTCCATTAGCAACACAATGAGACGGGCATAAGAGTTTTTTGAGTATACTGTTCATACTTTCTACATTATCATGTGAATTCAGGTTTTGAACTGAAGTGAACTAACCCCATGGTGTTACTCACACACAGTATCAGACTCACCAACTGCCCACAGCACAGAGTCGTAGCTGTCGTCGTGCTCGCTTCCTGTCTGGGTGTTGGTCCAGGTCACCTGAAGGGCTCCTGATGAGAGTTTGTCCACTCTCTTAGGGACACATTGCCATGCAAACTTGGTCCCATAAGCCTCCATGTAGTCCGTCACCAAACCTGCCATTTGCTGCACAAACCGAAAGAGAACCCTGAACTCCCTGTCAAGACACCCACATAATGCAGACCAGTGCAGGGAGCAATACCTGATCAAACCCCCGGAGGGCGATGCTGCGAACCATCACTGTGGTGTCCAAGCCGACGCCTGTGAGGAAACCTGCACACTCCAGAGCCACATCTGTGCAACACTATGTTGAGGATTTCTTGATTTGCATGTACAGTAGCGCTCAACACTTGAGGAGTGACAGTAACACACAGAAACAGACATTTAGCAGCAATATCTAAACAAGGTAGTGGTTAAACTTTAAACACTATACTTCATGAGACAGGTCTGATGCCAATGTTACTTTTGATCAAGTTAATAACTTCACTATTTCTCAGCTGATTACTACTGAAGTACTCAGTGGCAGTAAGCTCTCTGGCAGACAAAGGATACAGCTGGCTCCAACCACAAGTCTGTAAAACCAACAAAGAGAAGCTCTTTATACATTTCATCATTTGTCCAACATACTTTGGCCAAATAAAACAAAGCAGGTCCAAAAATGAAATTGAAATGAAGTTAACACTGTTTATTTTAAATCCTATAAGGCAAGGCAAAAGCAATGAATTACAAACTTCATATCTTCATAGGGAAGTGACGAGGTGAGAAGGACATGTAGAAAGAGGGGGCAGTAAAAGCTATTTCTCTGTGTGCACTTGTGGTGTCTGTCTATGTGTGTGTGGTCCAGGTGAATAACACATCTAATCCCACCCTGAGATCTGTGGTGTTGAGGAGGGCTAATTGCTAGCATTTAGGCTAATCCCTGCGGATGGGGTGTGCCATGTTCAGGGCTCAAGTCCACACATCAGCCCGCTGAGTGAAGCCCGTCACCCGCATGGATGAAGCCCCTTGCTCTCCTTGTTTTTTACTGCTTAAAGCCAGACCTCCTTCCCTTCAGGTCTGCTCCAGCTGACAGCTCTGGCTGCCTGCAGCACATCCCGCCCTTGTCCATACTAACACTAACCACTAAAAGCCCCTTTGCCCATTATCCCCGTATCTGTGTAATGCACAGCTGCACTTAACATGTATTGTGAAGTGGCTTAAATAAGATTAGGCCAAGAGCTTTAGCTTGACTCTAAACTTTCATCACTGAGACAGTCTCCTCTCTCCTATGATTTCTTCTCCCCCCCCAGTGTTTGACTGCATTTTACACTGCTTGGTGTCTGTACAGCTGCAATATATATATTTTCAAATAAAGATGAACCTGATTAGAACTTTTACAACCCTACTGACCCTTCCTGACAAAGGTGACATTTATGGGTATACAGGCACATTTAGGAAGCAATAAGAACTATCTACCTGTATTCAAATAACAAATAAACTTAGTTTTTATTATTTGTATGCATTAAACAACTGAGTAGTGCACTTGCATAGTGCATTCTGTTGGCTGGCCAGATGTAATAATGTGATCGGGGGATAAGTCTAGTGTAGTTCAAAACAAGACAAAACAGAACATCTCAAATTACTGAATGCGTTTGGGTTTGTTACCTGTAATTGTGTATGAGAATAAGTAACAACCCTCCATCTTATGTTCCACACATAGTTACTGTAAGTAACCATACAGTAGTATGATGGTGATGTATACACCATTAAGGTAGCCTCAGGGAAATCAGTCTTGCTTTAGAAAGGCAGTTCAGCATATACTGTAACTATGTGATCAGCTGCACAAAAAATTAACATCCATTTCCTGTTCTCCCACTTTGATTTCATCTACTATACACCACCAGTCAAAGTATGAACACACTTTCCTACTGAATTCAGTGAAAAGTGTGTCCACACTGGTACTGTATACTGCACACACACTGCCATGCTAAATTATGGAAAATATTAAAGGCATGAACCAGTCAAAACAAACGTGTCTACTGGAGGATGCCACATGAAAAGTGACAAAAAGGGAGGCCTTCTAATCTATACAGTATGTGTGGTTACCGTCTCGTACAACATTGGACTCCAATGTGACGTAACAAATTGGACAAGGAGCCCCACAACAACAACCATTGTAAAACTCTTGAGGCTTGGCTCCCGACTGTGGAGTGGTAGTATGTGGTTGAGAGCTCAAGCCAAGAGACTGAAGCCACAGCTCCTGTGGAAGGAGGTTTGGTGCTGACTGTCGGTGACTGCTTGTTAACCTCAGGCTTTTTTTTCAGAAGCCTTCCCAATGATCATTAAAAATGCAAGATTTGAATACTCCTGTGTGTCTGCCTAGAATACGGGTGGATTTTATTGCAAGTAAAGGCTTAATATGACTCCATCTTTCATAGTTTATATAGGTTACATTTCCTGGTAGCATTTCAGTTTGATGGTCTCATGGGCCATACATATTAAATCTGCTGTTCTGGTTTATAGTCTTGCCAAAGTTACACGGATTGCAGGACATAAAAACCGAGGACGCCTTGAACCAGCCGTTTAACCACTGAACCCTAAATATAAAACACTTTGTTTGATTTAAAAATAGTTGTTACATGTACGTTGGCAGATATTTTAGACCCTCTGCTGAAAAACAAAGATTCCACAATAACTTTCAATGAACCTGATCTTACACACCCACTTTCACATTTTAGTTTCATGTTCCTATGCAGAAAAGCAACATGAAAGACATAATGGCTAACAATAACAATATAATGGGATCAAAATGTTTGCATTTTTAAGAGGGCTTCTGATAGGCAAGCAGTAGTATTAACTACTGATAAAATACATTTCTTTTGTATTCAAGCAAACTGCATCATAAGTAGTTACTGCTCTGACGTACATGACACTTCACTGGCCTTTGTTAAGATTTTCAAAAAAAAATGTCTTTTATCAAACTAGTGGAAATCACAATGAAAGGTTTGGACATATTTTCCAACTGTACTGAATGAGAAGGTGTCTCCAGACTTCTGACTGGTAGTGTAAGTTGTCGCACCAAATTATAAAGAGAGCATTATAAATCCATCTGGAGATTTTTATTATGTCAGGTGCACATTACACAAACCTACTTACTGTCCCATTTCATTCAAGTACACTGGCCAATCTTTAGACTAGTATCCAAGTTCTGCTGCCACGTGCTCAAGTGTTTTCTCTTGATAGCATGATGATGGCAGCCAGCTCTGGGCTTCAGCCCCGGGGACCAAATCTGTCATTCAGCTGTGTATGTGCTCCAAGGCCCATTAGACACCCACTGCTTGCCAGGACCCCCCTACACCAGTCCTTCTCAGAGCTCACCTGCACAGCTGGCAGTTCTGAACCATAATAACATCTCCAGCTCTGGCTAGTGTGTGTTGTTCAGAACCCTTATAGAGAATGATAATGCTAACCCACAGCTAACCCCCTTACAGCCTGCAGGGGTGCAGAGGACTCCACTAACCACCACACTCTTACATCAAAGGATTTCCTGAGCTCAAGTGGTGTCTCAGAGTGGATAATTCCTCTATTCAAAGGGGGCTTGTGGAATGGGTGAATGCTACAGGGGTAATTGTTTAAGGGTAGTTACAGTGGACTGACATTGATTTGTTGACTATAAATGATTTTATATTGCCACCAAGTGGTCAAACTACTAAATTGCACATTTGCTCTTTACTGAAATACTATGTTTTAAAACTACAATTACAGAGGAACTGACCCTGATGACCCTAAACAAGATGAAAAAGTGCAATATACCCATTGCAAAAATAAAAACAAAGTGCAAGCACTAATTACCAGTTAAATCAAATAACATCTGTATATAAAAAGTATATAATTAAAAACAATTAAAAACTCGGCACCCCAGGTGCAGACAGCCTAGATACAAATGAAACTTGAATATGGGAATAATTATTTCCACTCATCTGTCACCTTCAAGAAAACAATGACGGAAACACAGGTATACCACAACCACTAGTCACTTCTGTGCGTTGTGCCAAGAGGAAACGTCAAGGGAAGACCAATTAACCAGGTGATGACAGGAGCTAAATGGGTGGATTAAAGGGCTTGTTCTCTAAAGGTCAGGATGCACGCCGCTAATCTGAATCATGAGGCGAGGACAGGCTGACAGGAAGGGAGACAAACAAACTGCATGTCACTGATGAATGATCACAGTGCATGACAGTGGGACGTGTTGTGTCAGCGAGCAAGGTAGAGCAGTGAGCTGGAGCGAGGCATTAATACTGCAGAGGTTAGAGGCTGTTTCTCTTGTAGCCCATTGTACAGAGAACACCACCAACAATGTAACACATGGTGCTAAAATATACAGATGGGTGACAAATTAATGGAAAACCTAAATAAATGAGTGGAGAAATATAATGAATGCAGATGCTGACATAGTTTGAAGGCTCACTGCAGATCAGTGCAAAGTTGTTCTGAGGGAACACCTTTATCCTGTGATGAAACATTTCTATCCTGATGGGAATGGCCACTTCCAGGATGACAGTGCCCCTAACCACAGGACATGAGGGGTCACTGAATGGCTTGATGAGGATGAAAATGACATGAATCACATGCTGTGACCTTTACAGTCACCCAGTCTTAACCCAGCGTCTCCACCACCATCATCATCGAAACACCACATTAGGGAAGAACGGCGTTCATCCCTCCAGTAGAGGTAGGAGACTTGGAGAGTCAATACCAAGGAGCAGTGAAGCTGTTCTGGTGACACATGGTGGCCCAGGACCTCACTGAGACACTTTGTTGGTTTGTCCTTTCATATGTTTTCCCATCCATCTGTATATACTCTATTTAAGGGTGATTAAAAAGACAGAAAAAAAACTTGCTCTTGCCATAAAAGCAAATGACATGAATCACATGCTGTGACCTTTACAGTCACCCAGTCTTAACCCAGCGTCTCCACCACCATCATCATCGAAACACCACATTAGGGAAGAACGGCGTTCATCCCTCCAGTAGAGGTAGGAGACTTGGAGAGTCAATACCAAGGAGCAGTGAAGCTGTTCTGGTGACACATGGTGGCCCAGGACCTCACTGAGACACTTTGTTGGTTTGTCCTTTCATATGTTTTCCCATCCATCTGTATATACTCTATTTAAGGGTGATTAAAAAGAAAGAAAAAAAAAAACTTGCTCTTGCCATAAAAGCAAAACATCTGAAGCTGCATGCAGACTATCATTACAGCTTGCAATTGGACACTGACTGACAACCCTCAGCTTAAGACAATATAGTATTTTAATACTAGATGTGTATGTAGTAAATATGAAGGTGGAAGGTGTACACACGTTTTTCCAGGTGACTTTTTCAGCCAAAATATGTCATCGCTGGTGAGGCCGTGCTCCATGGCTCCAGGGATCTGTAATACCACACAAAGCTGTGATCGGAACTATCAAAATATTCATCTGTTATCAAAAGCTCTGTGAATAATGACAAACTTAACAAAGACTGTCTCTAAAATCTGTTATCTTTAGGGTGGTCACGCTTGGATGTGTGCCAGTGTACAGTAATGCTTTCCATCTACATTCACTTCGATGATTTTTGGCTACTCTGACAGAAGAAGGAAACACCTTGGATTGAATAATAGTGATGATAGTTACATTTGTGGGGTACTTGGGCCGTCCACCTGTGGCAATCACAATGTTCTTGGCAGTCAGGATCATCTGTATGAGAAGGGAGGGAAATGTGAAGTCATAATGTGTGCTCATATCCCTTAAAAAACAAGGAAATGTCAAATGAATGCAAGTGGTCTCCACAGCACTCTGCGTCAAGGTGATGACAAACACTCTGAAAACACAGACAAATTCAGATTTTGCATTCTTAATGTATTAAGAAGCAGAAAGAAAACTTATTTAAAATGTATCAGTGACAAAACTAAAAGAAAATATATTACAAAACAGAGTCAAATGTGCATGAGGGAAATGCATGTAAACACACAGTAGGACGACAATACTGCATGTTTATATAGAGTATGATATATATAATGAGCAAGAGAAACAAATATATACGATATGTTTTACAAAGTAATTCATTCGGGTTTGATTGTATGCTCAATAAATGACATTCAATCTCAGTTGAATGAAGAAATAAAAGCCTTAACTTGAATTAGTGCAAACCTCTTTTCCTGCTTTTGTGAGTCCTTTCACAGTGTGTTCATCCACCAGACTTCCCTTAATGTTCAGATACTTCACGTTCCTGCAAAAAAACAAAAAAAAACAACACTCAGGTTTCTGCTGGTGGTACCTTACACTACAGCAGCACAGGACACACTGCAACTCCTCTGGATTCACTCGTAAGCCCCATTATCACTTCTCTCACTCAGCTCCTTTGTAGTCCTGCTGTTTCCACACTTCATGTTTATAATCTGCTGAAAATAAAGTTAACTTATGCAAAGTTAACTCAAAAGATATCAACAAGACCATTTAGTTGCCCAGAATGGAGGCTGGCCCAGGCTGCACAAGAGACGTCAATCATGTTATTAGCCTTTTTGTTACTGGTTACAGTCTGTGTCTGTCATGTTACTTTCAGCATTGGTTCCAACTTTCCAATGTGCTGAGAATGAGAGCTAACAACCATCAGCACCAGCTTTTTAATTATCATCTTAATTATAACCTGTTTTCATTTATGGAGTGGCTAAAAGTTATCTAATTGTTACTTTCTTACAAATGCATTTAAATAAATGCTGCTGCCATGTAGAAGATGAAATTTGTAAACACCAGGCTGTAATCTACAGTATAGCTGGAAGATACATTTAATATTAATCAGATTTATTTTTGACACTTCATTATACTGCATGGGGGAAAAAAACCTTTTGTTCATTAGTCATTATGCCCAGGACATATTTAATGTTTATGATGCAAACACACTGTTGGTCACACAAATCTCTTTACCCACAACTACCATCTTAGATATCCATTCAGTAACTTTTACTCTACATATTACAATAATTACAATAGCATGTTATTACTTGCAGGAAAATCAAACTCAACTATTAACGATTAAAAATGGAGTGCTCCTGTAATATCTGTGCTCATTTATTAATATATTTGTTATGAACAAACCTGATGGAAATGACTGCTTTGCACTGTGGTTCCCAGCCTTTCAAGCCTATTTGTTAAGTGAAACGAAATCATATTAGAAGCCTCACTAATTATCTGAGTCTAAGGAAATGATCTCACGTGATTGAAAACATTGTAGCTTGCACTTGGACACATTCACACACCTGTTTGCCCTGCAGTCAGCCTCTCACTCAACACGTGGTCACTGACTATCAATCCTTCAGCTGTGTACCAAGAGCAAGGTACTGCCTTCAGCAACATTTCAAGCCAAGAAAAAAAAAAAGCAAAAAGGGAAGACAAATGGGCTGGAGAATAAATATTCAAGATTATCCTACGGAACGTGAGCAGTGACACGGCAAGTGGTGACATATGGACAATGCACCGTATCTGTCACAGCTCTAAAAGCTCAAACTCCTTAAGACCATCTGAATCAATCCTCAGATGAGAGGCGTTCCACAGTAAATGCATCCTTCACTATCACCTGCAAATGAATTAATTAAATTAATCTTCACCGCTGAAGCAAATAAGTCTGAATAAAGCAAGCAGATCTGGTGTCACTCACTTGTCCTGGAGCTGAACTCTGTGACCCCAGTTCAGGGACTTGACATGGTTTTGAACGGCCTCCGCCATGGTGGCCCTGGGACACACACAATAATATAAACAGACCAGACACCAGCATTCCTGAGCATGTTTCTTTAGCTGTGTGGGCTGAATAATGGGAATTGAAGAGGAAAAGAAACCTGACTCATGTATCAATTGTTCATTCAATCTGGAAAACCAACATCAAAAAAGGGATCAGATCATTTTGTTTTTTTCCCCATTTTTTTTCTGTGCTTATAATAATTGTGAAGTAAACATGAAAACCAATAAAACACTGATCCATAGCCTTTACTAAACAGGGTGGGGGGGGACACATACACACAACCTAAGAACACAGCTGCCTGGCACCATGATACCCACTGCTGTGATTACCACATTGTTGCATTTACAGCTTAAGAACACCCTGTTTTTAAAAGTCTTCTCTTATATTTGCACAAACGTGAATGATATGGTTTAAGATAAACTGACATTTCACTAGTGAGGATGTTGAGGTGTGCTCAGTCTCAGTATAATCCTCCCAGCTCATATATGTCTTTGATGATTTCAGACCAGTTATCTACTGGAGGTTGATCAGCTTGAAGCCATTTTCTTCTTTTGCTGACATAGTAAATATTTTCAGGAGATACTGGTCATTTCCTATTTCATTCATGTAGGTCACCCAAATAGAGTGAGAGTGGTCAGTGGGACCTGTGGCCCCAGAATATGCTGTATGATTTTCTAGATATTTTCCCAAAACATCTGAGTCTTTGGGCAGGTGGCAGTTATCCAGTTCAACATCACCACAGTTTCTGATCAATAAATTGATGGATAACACTTTTCCAACAGAGTTTACACTAATATGACAAGAAAAAAAAAACATTTAACACATAATTACCCACTGTTGGCATATTATTTTAGCTTTTTTCACTCTACGGTTCTTTTTCTCATCTCTCAATGGTACAGTTTGTAGTAGCTCCTGTGCCTTTAGCGATTCCCTGCTAAAGTTGTTAAATTATTGAGTTAGAA